TATACAGTGTCTTTTAGTGAAGCATCACTGTCGATAAAGAATCATTAATAGAAGATTAAAACTTTCTTTCAAATCGATAGTAAGGAAGACGAAAAATGTGTTTTATGCCTGTTTTAATAATATACACCACATGCGTGACATAAATTTAATATGTTAAAGACTTTATTCCCAGAAAAGTTTAATCAGTTACAAGATTTGCCCTTGAAACCTGATGAAACCTAAGATGTTTCATTAAAGTTTCGACATATTTTGGACTCTTTGCGTTTTAACATATACCTCAGCACTAGAAATACATAATATAACCTAAGAGAAACATACATATTGAAGTAAATTTAATAATATGTAATATGAATGAAATATAAAACTTTGCAACAGATACTTTGATGAAAATAGTATGCTGAATATGAATCTGACAAGCAGTCATTGCTTTTAAATGGGCATTTCATCTAATACTTTGTGTACTTAGGGCACCTTAATACTGTTATTATGTGTATGTTTCGGTGGAGAGATACACAAGTTATGTATGTTCATTTAAATTAAGCTGCCACCAATGTGTGCTGACTGCTCAACAGAGTGGAACTTTAATTGTATCTGACGTTCGAGTTGCAGTATAAGCCATTTTTAGACTGCATAACATATTTTTATTAAATTTTTTTCTTCCATTGTTTACTGTAAACCAGATTTCGTTCTAAATTTAAAATGAAAAAAAAGGCTCACGTATCAAGACAATTATAGTTTATTAACTGAAAGCAACAAATAAACGAAACACAAAAAAAACAAAAAAATTGAAAGGTAAAGCAGCGCTTTCCTTCAACTGAAAGAATTCCAAACCGGGTTTATATGGATTTCGCTGGCTTACAACATATGGGCGCAGACTCGTATGCGCATGCGAGCACAAACCAATTTTAATCCGTGCTGTTACACAACAGTTGGTTTGCATGAATTGGCTGTAAAGGAAGGCTGAATAGTCTGAAAGTCAGACAGACGAGCATTCAGGCAGGCAGGCAGTCAGGCAGGCAGGGAGGCAGGGAGGCAAGCATTCGTGATAAAGTGGCGCGAAATAAACAAATTATTGCCACAAGATTCACAAGTTATTCTGCCTGAATTCACATTTAATTCACGATTTTCTTTCACATTTCAAACAAATTTTTCCTTAACAAATCTGCATTGCATTTCCTTTGAGTTGGTTTTGTAACTCTGGTAACTTAGCCAACTGTGCCGGCTGCGGTGACTGTGGTTATCGCTCACTCACGTAATTTCTGATTCTGACCTTTTGCATGTAAAAAAGTTAATTGAACTCTCAAATTTGTTTTCCGTTTCGTTAAATGACATCCAAGAATGGCGATGCTCCATCGTACACTCCACAACTCTGCAGAAGTGAAATAATCTTTGCAATTTCGACAACAAAGGCTATTTTACATTAAAAGCATTTCTTCTCTTGATACGTGACAGTCGAAATGTGTTCAGACCAATCCCAGCTAAACAATCATGTTGACCTCGCTTAGCCGTCATCTTGACTTTGAGCTTCTGTGAGGAGTTGACGTTGCAAGCTGTGGCTTTAAGCTGCGCTCACTATTGCAGATTTTTGTCGTTGCACATGGAATGCTTGCGTGCACGCTACAGTCTGTTACCTTTCGTAAATGCATTATTGTGAACTACGAATTACGGTACGTAAATACAAGTCTTCGTAGTGCTCTAATAAATTTCTTATTCCCAAGTAAGAGAATTATGTGTAAGGCAGTCTAGAGGAAGTTTCTGTAACTTACGGAGTAAAAATATGACTAAAAACCGTTTTTTTTATTAGATGGTTTTACTTCCACTTAAAACTGAACTTTTAAAAAATTTTAGAGAAACATTGAAGGGTGAAGGGTGATTAGTAGTGAATTACAACAACAAAATATTTTTTAGTAGTATAATACTTTAACTCAAGAATTAACTCGAATCATAAGTGATCTGATAATTAAATATTCATGCATACCTACCTATCATTAATGATTTTTGGACATATGTATGTGTTGATTTTATAAGTCTATATTGAAAATTGTTGGACTACAAATTCTAGGCTTAGCACTTTCTTCTTTTCATATGAGAAGCAATAAAAATATTATTGGTTTATTGAAAATTTAATTAAAATATGGTACAATGAAAATATAGGTCTAATGAAGTAAGAAATAATTAAATAAAAATAGATTTTAGGTGTAGCTTTACAAATTTTTTATATATACGTTTTTTTATATATACATTGTGAAAAAATGTTATATTAACTTTGCGAACATCGTTGTGATACAGTCAAAAATACAGCTTTAATGTTTCCTTTCAGTCGGAGTATCACTCGATGGATATTGAAGTTACTCGTACTAAAATTTATATTTGCGGAACTGAGTAATAACAAAATTTGTTTTTTTTTCAATCGCTATTAATTGATGGCTTCATAACTAATAAATTTTATATTAGTAAAAGAAATAATACACTAATGAAACATAATAGCAACAAAAATAGTGATAAGAACGGAACGTTGAGATATTGTAGAATACTCTCACATTAGCATATCTCAACTTAACGATGAGATGAGATAAGATTTTATCATATATTCTTTGGCTTCGGCCATGAGCATGAATAGGTCTAAAAAAGAGTGGATAACAATCCTAGTTCCAATCCTAGTGAACGGCAATGCTATAACTAGTAATTCTTGTGTTCTTAGTTAAATGGTGTGCAGAAACATGTGATCAACACACACTATAATCCTTGTGAAGAAAATACAAGTAGTACAACCCTCATTACTTCTAAGCAGAACGCATATATGGGTAAAAAGCAGTGTCACTATCGTTAATAGAATCTAGCTTTTTAGTAACAAAAAGTGTAATTCTTGCCGCTTCTAAGCAGAAAGAGAGGCATGGGTAACAATAAGTATCACTTTCGTTATTAGATTACAACACGTAACACGCAATAGCACTAGACTAGGATACGGTAATAAAATGGTGTGAGAAGCTAGTTGTAAGTCCCTAACTGCTTCATACATTGTAAACAAAGAAAGCCAAAAATAAACTGGAAAGAAAAAGAAAACTATTCAATATAAAAAAATATCAAAAGATCGGCGCAAATTCTGAAATTTATTATAAAACAACACTGCTTTGCCTTAGTGCCGAGTCACAAATACGCCGACTCTCATGCTGGAATTTGAAACGATATATTGTTTTTTCCCTCAATCTCAATTTTATAATTTGCATTAACAACAACAATTTTACTCATGTCCTAGACACTCTACGTAACGTGGCCCTTAGTGTTACGTTCGTATTTTTAAATCAACAACCCAAAAAAAGTATGGTAATTTATATACACCACAGTTTTTTTTTGATTTTTTTAGTACTTGATAATTTCTTTTAATATTAACAAAATAATATAAAAGTTGAAGAGACAATATATTAAAGTGGTATTATTGCTCTTCTGAGGTCGCGTTGTTGGTTATTAGTGGCAACTTATCTATAAATTTAGCAGCCAAAGAAAGGAAAATGAGGTGGCAAATAAAGCTGTGTTTCACTCACTACCTTGAATGATCTAGAGATTGAACGAATCATTTAGAGGATGATTAGATCCAACAACTCTGGTAACAAAGATGGAACGCAGAAGAGGAAAATGGAGAGCAAAATTGACACGAGACATAGAAAAAATTTTCACATACGAAAATTGGAGAAATAAACTATAATCTAACACAATTTCTTTCTCGTCATGGATAATTTCAAAGATTTAATAAAAAATAAAATTAATGCAATTAATACTAGTGAATAATTATCTCACTATATCTGAGTTGATTGTTAATTCATGTTAACAATTTCATTTTCATATAAAAATATATTAAACAATTGTAAAGCGACGTTATCAAGACGTTATCTTGATTATGATTACCAGATTTATATCTCACGATCGATGGATTATCGTACAATTTTTTATTATTTTACCTGAAAGCTTTTTGACTAAAATAAATTTTTAAAATTAAGAGTTGTTTAAATTTTAAAATTCATTCAATCTCTTCGATCATTTTATTTTATCACTTATCACTTCAATGTCAAGTGAGACAAATTGCGCCATCAACAAATCGCAAAAAAGTGAAGGTGATTATTTACTAAAATTAGCGAAAATAAAAGTTGTAAAAATGGGCAATGATGTTGATGTATGGACGAAGTGGAAGACTAGCTACAAAGCTATTTTTATAGATATCGAAAGCAGTCATATCTACTACTAAATGGCGATTTAAGTTTTACACTTAAAAATTATTTTATATATTGATTTACAAGAAGAAAGGGATGTGAAACTATCAGGTATTTAGAAATTTAGTTGGTGTCAATATAAATCCATGTATAGTATATAGTAGAAACTGTATACCAGTCATCCATAAAAATAGGTTACACCTAAAAATTTATGACCAAAAAGGAAAAATATCTGTCATCTAAGTCGATACTTTTGTATGGCATTTTTCGTTTTTAGTGATAAGATAGAATATACGATCTAGAAATGAATATGAGCTCATGTACTTTCTTTAAGTTAAAATGATCATCACAAATGAAGTAATGAATTGAAGTCATCCCTAATCAAAGCTGATATGTCATTTTTTTAAATAATAAATAATAATTTAACTTTAAAAAAAAAAATATTAAAAAATGTATATATTATATCTATATCGAAAAATATTTTTATTTTTTTTATTTACTTATGATGTTAAAACGGCAATATTTAAAAATAATTTTAAGTAAAAACTAAACATTCACACAAAACAAGCTACTATCGTTCCTCCGGTGTGCATTGGAATGAACACCTGGCCTAATTCGACTAACTTCTTTCACATAGTTTTGCTTTGACTCATGGACATGTGGTAGCACAGTTTATTCCAATTACGAAAACAAATTTGCATTATATTTTACTTTTATATTTAAAAAATATCATATTCCATATAACCTTAATTAAGGGAATTTACTAAATATAAACATATTTGTGTTTTCTTACAGAAAATCGATCCTTTAATGCGCATTCAAGAGGAAATTAAGGAAGTTGTACGACGTGAAGAAGAACACCGACAACTTACTTCCACTATGGGTGCACCTGTTTCTTTGGATGAATATGACGAAATCGATGGCCATGACAGCCATAACAATAACGATACCGAAAGCAGTAATAGTATATCATTAACTCCAGAGCCATTGGTCAGAGCCACTGCAGTTGTTACTTCATTGGCAGTGCAAGATGACGTACCATCACTCGCTTCAAGCATAAATAGCAAAGAGAGTTTTGATGGACATCATTCAGATGATTCAGGCATATCTGCCTCCTCAAGTCCGAACACAAACAAAAGCAGCAACAACAACAACAACGAAGTATTCAAAAGTGTAAATAAAGAGCAACGCTATATTGGTCCAAATTGCTATAATATGACACCAGAACCACCACAACAAAAACTAATGACTCGTACAGTATCCACACCACATCTTGCTGTTACTAAGCCCAGACAATTCGCTGTGAATCCTGCACATAAAGGCGTAATGCAACGTTTCATTGCTTCTCGTGGCAAAATTCAACTCAACAACAATGCTGCAGCTAATAAAATATTTCTAAATGGTAAAAGTGCTGCAGCTTTGATGAATTCTCCCATCACAGCTACACCACCAAATACACCGATGAGTGCTGCTATCAATATGCCAGCGGTCGTCCCAGATTTCAGTGCACGCAATCCAGCTTCTATTGTCATACCGACAGTCAGCATGACTCCAACTGTAATAGAGCGTGATGCTGAAGGTAGACCCATACGTCCTGGTTACGTATCAGCCGAGGTTAAGATTCAGCGTGAGTTAAAGGATCTGAAGAAACGTGAGACCGAACTGAAGAAAATTCGTAAAATTCGACTATCTACTCCAGATTTACTGGACTCAATAGATAATGAGTGAGTGTTACATTTCAACAAATAATAAATCATATTAACTTAATAATAATAATAAAAAATAAAAATTTGTCAATGTTATTCGTAATGATTTATTAAATCATTTTGTTGAATTAATTTATTTATTTATTAAATTATTTTTTGGTAATTTCATAATACAATTGGTTAAATAATTCATTTATTAAATTAACATTGATTTATTTATTAAATTAATATATTGAATTATTTATTAAATTCATTCATTGATTTATATTATATATATATATATATATATATATATATAAATTATATAATTAATGTATTTATTAAATTAATTTATTAATTAAAATAATTTATCTGTTATAATTATTTAAAATAAATTATTTACAATTTATGTATTAAATTAATTTATTAATTTATTTATTACATTGATTTATTAATTTATTTATTAAATTAATAAATTAAATTATTCATTAAATTAAAAAATTAAATTATTCATTAAATTAATTTATTAATTAAATTATTAAATTAATTCAATAATTATATTTTTAAATTAATTTTTTAATTGTTTCATTAAATTAATTTTTTAATTTATTTATAAAATTAGTTTGTTAATTTATTTATTTTCTTAAATTAATTTATTTATTAAATTATTTTTTAATTGTTTTATTAAATTTATTTTTTAATTTATAAAATTAGTTGATTAATTGATTTATAAAATTAGCTGACTAATTTATTTATAAAATTAGTTGATTAATTAATGTAATCTAATATAAAAGTAATATTTAACTTAATAAAATTTGATAATTTAGTTAAAAAATTCATTAATTTATTAATTGAATTATTATATGAATTAATTTATTAAATTCCATTGATCTAGTTACTCAATTAATTTATTTATTAAATTAATTTTTTTTTAATTATTTAATTTTATAATTCATTTATTAAATTAATTTTTGACATAATTTGTTAAATTTATTTATATATTAAGTTATATTACTATTTTAATAAAAAAGTTTTATATTATATAAATATATAAATATATATTTTAATCAAATTATTAAATTAAATAAAATTAATTTATTAAATTATTTGATTTATTAAATTTTTCTATTAAATGAGTTACTTCATTAATTTATTTAATTAATTATTTAAGTTAATTAGTTATTAAATTAATTTTTTTATGAAATTAATTTTTTTATGAAATTAATTAATTGACTAAGAGTTTATAAGTTATAAATTAATTAATTTACAAAATTTAGCAAAATATTCATCAAAATATTTATGAAATATTTGAAAGTTTTTTTATAGAAATAAATTTAATATAATAATACTAATATCAATTTAATATTTAATTATATGTAATTAATTTCAATTATTAAATAAATCTATTAAGTTATTCATTAAATTAGTTGATTAAAATAGTTATAAAATAAATTTGTTAATTTACTTATAAAATTAATTGATTAAAATAAAATTAATTGGTTAAAATAAAATTAATTAAATTCCTGGCCAATAGAGGTAATAAATGAGCCATTAAGTAAATGAAACTATAAATATTAAGACTGAATTAATTAAAAAAATTAATTGAAATTGATTAATTTAATTTATTAAAAAACTAATTTCATTATTTGATTCTTCATATTTATTTTTTTAACAGTTTCAAATAAAAAATAAATATTAAAAAATTTATACTTGAATATACTTGAAAAATCATTGATAATTTAATAATTATTAATAAAATAGCAAATAGTAAAATAAAAATTACAACATGTATTTTCTTTTTTACATTTTCAGTAATGTGGAAACCGACGAGGAAGATGAGTTTGAAGTGGAACATTGTTACGGCCCTAACAAATTACGATCAGCTAAGTCTATTAGTGAACTGTGCGAGTTATCACATTTCAATGGAAATTTATCACCAAGGTGAGAAAAGACACAACTTGGGAGGTTCTTATATACATAGGTTCTTAATTAAAAAATTTAAGAACTATTGTTCAGCTCTCGGTAAACAAGAAGTTAGGAAATATGTAGTTTCAATACGGATACCCAAACTTTGGAACTAAATCAACATTACTAGTTAGAATTCAAAATATGTTTAATTTTATGCCTAAGTAGACTAAGAGGCGAGTCATTCAGTAGAGTGTATTTTCCTCATATTTGTAGCTCCTTGAGATTATTTCATGAATATTCTTGTAATATATAGAGTGGGGCTTATATTTTGTTTATCATAAATGCTGATGTGAAGTCGTTCATATTTATGTGGTTTTATGAATTTTTATAACTATGTGGATTTCAAAGTCTTCCGATTGTCATATCGAAAGACTTTCTGCATTAGATTTGCGGGATACCAATTTGTCAGCATTGAAGTCTTAATTCAAGAATTAACTTATTATTAATTCTGAATTATTTTCATGTAAACTTAATTTTCTGAACTTCTGAATTCCAAATATTTTCTTCTTAATTATCCTTATGTACTTATAATTTCATTTGGCATCATCTAATCGGGTAGATATGATCACTTGCGGTGACTTTACGTCACCTCCAAATCGTGTTTCCGTCAATTCCAATTTCTTTGCATTTTTTACGGTAACTTTCTATTGTTAATTATAAAGCATTTATAGTATTTTATTTCTGGATTTCTCAAGAACTGGTGGTGTTTAATCCTTTAAATCTTTACCACAACAGCAAACCAATTTTTTTCTACATATCTATCGAGATTAATAATGGTTTATGTTAGCTCGTAGCCACTCAGAAGGATTTGGCATTCAACTGTAAGGAATGCTTTCGAAGTATAGGTAGGCACAACCCCAAATTGAGTTGATAGATAGATTGTGGTACTATATACCGCGGACAATAATATCTTTTTTATTATATATATATAAATGTGTATATATTTCTTTTATGTATTTTTCATTTAAGCGTTTTTTTTTATATTTGGCTCAATTTAATTCCAATATTTATAGTAGCATCAATAAAATTATAGATTCTACTCACGCCATTATATGAAATTAATAAAAAATTTAGTTGTGTAATCTGTTTAGTTCTTAAATGAGGTTGAATTATTTTTAAAATAGATTTTGTTAAAATAAAGTTTTTTTTTTATATTAACTATTACAGTATATATTATAGTATACGTCACTTAATAAATAATTTTATTTCATTGCTTATTCATTCACTTATGTCCAACTGTTGTCGCATTAACATTATAATAAAGCACAAAATATGTTATATATATATGTAGAGTTAAAAATTCTATTGTTATAACATAAAATACTCTACAATTTTAGCACTACACCAAGTCCAGATTTTGATACTAAATTGCATTTTAGTCGAGGCAGTGGCATGCGACCAGCCATGTCATTGGCGCAGCTATGTGACTTGACTCCTGAAGAAGCACCGTCTTCACATCGTCTAATCGCACAATGGGAAAACCTCATACAGCAAAATGCCTAAATTTTAACTACTTCTACTACTGTTACTGCAAAGATTCGAAGGGAGCTAAACGAGTGGAAGGTACCACAACAATTTAGTTATATCACAGACCAAATGTTAACTGCTGAAGATGCATGCTTCCTATGCTATAAATAAAAGCATGTCTAGTATTAATTTTATATCAAATGCCTACTATTTTCTTAAAATTACTTTACATTGATTTTTTGTTATAGTTTTTAATTAAATAAAAAAAAAACATTACTTATAACTTTAAGTAAAGGCATTGCTAAATAGCAAGCAAAAAAGTTAACTTATTTAACTCATGCTAGAAATTTGATTTTAAAAAATATCGCATGCAACTTTTATTTAGAATTATGCATTGCTGCATATAGAAAATTGTTTAAACATTTCTGCATGTTTTTGTTAGTATTTTATGAATAATTTATCAACGAATGAAATTTATATTGTAAACTTTGCTTTTAAAATAAAATATTTTTGCTAAATTTTATATAATCTGCATTATTTTAAATATATCTACGTATATATTAGTTATAAAACTATTGTAAATAACTTCGGCTTCTGCTCTTATACAACTATGCAACTATTCTTATACATACATATATAAATGTGAATTAAAAAAATAAAATATAAAATTATTTATAAACCAAATTAATTTATTGTTTAATTGTTTTTAAATTATTTGTAATAACCTTTGGCTGCTGCCTCTTCAACTATAGTGCCTATAGCGGCACAAGCTTCTTCAGCGGTTGGTATTATTTCCGCTGCTGGCAATATGAATAAATCCTCACTATCTGGTGGGCCACGTAATTCAAAAGTGAAAGTAATTGGTATATTCATTTCACCATGCACCCAATCCTTAGAACCACCGCTTGATGGATAAATCGTTTCATAAATGCTACCGCTTTTGTAAACACGACCAGAAATATTTTTAATAGTCTCAGCTGCTTTCTTACCGATCGCCGTCAGATCGTCATAATTCTCAACACGTTCTGCTGTGTGACCATAAGGAAACATGATCAACTGCGAAAAGGAGTGCAATGATATGTAAGTTTTGATATTTTCACGCTCGACATTATCCTGTATGAATTTAATCAAACGCTGTGTTTCTACTTCGCTACCAGCTGACGGTCCAGAATAATCATAACGGCATGGATCACCACTGGTGCCAGTCACATTCCAGTGATTAGGATAATTGCGATTAAGATCAACACCACGACATAAACCGAAACTTGCGCGATTTTTACGCCACATGCGATCATTTTCAAAGGAATACTTATAACCATCAGGATTGACAACTGGAAATATAATCCAATTGTAGTTATTTGCCAAGTTTTGTACTCGCTCGCTTTTCGATGTGAGTAACTCGTTGATTAAATATGTTGCAGTTGCTGGAGCAATCCATTCACGTGCATGTATGCCGCTTTCAATGAAAATTGCTTTATTTAGTGGATTACGTGCCAATTTTAGACCTTTAATCGGCAGACCTTCGGTACTATCACCCATATTTAGCAATGTTACATCTTGTGGATATTGTTCTGCTACGTGTTCTAACCATTCATAGATGGTTTCTAGATGATAATAATGTTTCCAACCAAAATGCTTCAAATTTGTAGTTTTAGGCTTAACCTCTAGCATATTCTTGTCAATCTTTTCTTGGAAATTGTAGGTCTAAAATAAGTTATTCACCTTAATGATCAACTAATTTAATAGACATGTAGAATTTGGGAAGTTCCACTTACCAGAACGCGATGCTTAACTTTGTACGTCATGAGCAAGTCTGCAAAATCTGAAACTTTATGAGCTGCAACCATAATGGTCAACTTTTGCTTTGGTCGCAAGGCATGCCCATAGAAAGTACAGCTGTCACTCTGCTCCTCAAGGTCTTGGAAGAGTTTGACATGCTCTTCAGTATCTAACTCAACATAGTACATACGGTAGTGATCGTAACGAGCCTGATTAACGTAGGGCTCCACACATTTATCATCCTTAGTACAGAACGCGGCATTTTCACTTTCCGTTATGTGTAAAAATAGCAAAAATATTACGGCATTTAAAACAAAATATAATCTTTTGACATTTCGAAACATTTTTATATGCCTTAAATATATAAATTCTACACTTAACACTTGGTACAATAAGAATGCTTATAAAATATATAAATTAAGCTCAGATTGTGATACACTTTTGACGTCTCTTTTATTTTCAGTTATTTTTGATTTTTCCAGGCTTGCCAGGCTTATACAATTAAAAAAAATAAAACTAATGTTTTATTACATATATAGAAAAAACAAATTTTTTAGAAAAAAGATTGCAGATGACATTACTGAATTAATTAAAACTAATCACATTAGAATTCGTATAATAACATTCGAAAAGTTTTGTTTGGTATTAAATATTTATGTGGCATGTGGTGACCCTGTATAGTGTAAACAGATAAGAATATTACTATTACGCAATCTGAGATTTTAATCTAAATTTAAAAATCTTGTTCCAAAATTTAGCCAAAAGCTGTGGTAGCATTGATTTGTTGTGTCTGGTTGGTTTGCTTTAAAAGACGAACAATTTTTTTGGCGTGGTATCCACAAATTGCCAGAAAGGTGGTCAAAATGTGTAGAAAGCAATGGCCAATACTTTGAATAAAATGTTTTTTACTTTTCTATTAATAATTAGTGTTTTATTTTTACCAAAAAACGCTCATTTCATACCGGTACACCTGGTATATAAAAGAAAAACAACATCACACAAAATCAACATCAAACAAAATCAACCAAAGGAAATTTGGTTATTTCATATTTAAACATAAACATAAACAGGACTTTTAAACTCATTGGTGACGAAAAACTGACTGGCTATGCAGCTGTTTGGAAAATTGCCAAATATTATATATATCATTACATATAAAAATATACATAAAAAATATTAAAAAAAAATTATTTGAATACGTGCATACCAAAAAAATTTTAAATACGTAAGGTACCGAAAAGTATGTACAGTACTTATAAAAATATACGGCAGCTTTCATATATAGATGGCACTAGTACTTTATGGAGGAAATATACGATAATTAAATATATCAATGACTTTCAAATGGTTTGAAATGTTTGATAACACGGTAAAACAACATTCCTCAAACTGCACATTTGTTGCCAAAAATTAAATAAAATTTGAAATAATATTATAAGTTTTAATATTAAAATGTATTGTTGTAAATTATATTTTATGTGAATATTGTAAGTATAAATATAGATTTATCTTAATGTTAATGAGAGAGTATTGAGTATTTAATAAGAGTATTTAATAATGACAGTATTTAATAAGTAAATCTTCAATAATATTGCTATATGATGAACTACTAAGAGACTGTCGTAGCCACTATTCAACTGTAGTCTCATCAACCTTTAGTTAAAAAATTGTTATTAAATGAACGAAAAGATCTTTATGATACGATTTTCTCTCTTAACAGAAACAGTTGAACAATAACTTTCTTAAAAAATTTAGTCGTAATACCCAAAGCTGATAATATAACGCATTTGATAATATACTTGAATAGCCCCCTAACTCAGCACAAACTCATTGAATCCAAAAAAAATTCAAATAAGAGAGGAAGTTTCTAAACAAGCATTGAGTACCCATTACTTCTAGAGTTCAAGGTCCTACAATTCAATATAAGATATCATATCATGTAATTGAAGATCTTGCAAAATTTTACAAAGAGGGCAGTCAAAAATTTTAAAAACCATCACTGCCTAAAATAATGAATTCATTAAGACATTATTACTGTGAGAACAGTAATAATGTACCAAAACGTTAAACAGTAATGTACCAAAAATATCAAAGAAAACGTTAATTCCTTAGCCTGAAACTAATCACTACATTCTTGTTTTTATTCCATAATTTTAGAGCAGCTAACTGGCCTTTCTCTATTTTATAATTTAATTTATTTTTTTTTGAGTTTAATTAAGTACAGCAAATCATATTCAGTGTAACATTTTATAAATAATATAAAATAAAATCATAAGTAATATATTATATTATAACATATTAAACACTTGATTTTCTATATAATATATTATATTATAAATATTATGAATATAATATAAATAAATATTATTAATAAAATAATGATATTTTGTTTATTCTAATAATGTCTCAACATCCCTACAAATGGCTTAAGCAATAAAGTTGCAAATATACTGAACAGTTTGAAGAAGAATAGCGCCACCTCGTTCTTAAATTTCAATACGAATTCACTACTATAGTGACTTATGAAATGTTCTCACGGTATTCTATACACAAACCATGCAATCCAGTTTTTTTCAAACTGTGCATATAGTGCTTTGTAGTCATTGTTATTTATTAATAATTATTAATTCAAAGAAATTTATGTAGCACTAACAAAAAATCATAGCATTTTACTTGAAATCTAAAATCTATGTATATTCATATAAATTTTTCAATAATTAATTAATCTTCTGTAACTTAAAATACTACTTAGCTCTATCTATTCTTAAAGTAATCAGTAACCGCACGGGGTGGTAAGCAGATCTTAGATCAGTCATTGAATAATCATGAAGATTATGAGGAATACTCAAATTAGTCAGTGAGATGAACGGGACTCTACAGAAACCCCCCAGCCATCATAGGGTAAAAATGCCCAGTACACTAACTCGGAAAAGGTTCAACATAACGAACATTAATTTGTACAGGTTATTTGTATTGCTACCATTTAACTAGACTTGAACTTCTCCTTCGGACATAATGCTTTATCCAAAAAAATATGTCTATTTTCTCTGAAAATCGGGCATACACCCGATGGCTTCATCAAAAATATACGTCTATTTTCTCTAAAAAAACGGTATATGACATATATATATATCAGTATAAAAAGACCACCTCTATATTTAAAAAGTCAGCTCCTTATGTGCTCAGTGTTTTCGTAAAAACACTAAAAACTATGCATAATGTCATATTGCAATTGTGGGTACATGTCATGAGATTCCGATCTAGCATACGTGTTCACTTCGTTTATATAAAGTTATAATGTTATTGTGTACAAATTTAAGATTCATACTTTGAATACTGGTTTTTGAACCAGTTCTAAAGACATATTTTCCCAATCTTTGGCCCAATATATGCCTTTGTCAATGGTAAGTTCAACTTGTATTCGACGAAGCCTTGAGGAAGAAAGATTAAGAATTTTTCTTATATAGGCTAAATGTGTTTGCATTGTGTCTACAAATTGAGTTGGTAAATCCGTTTCTAAGCGGAGAATTAAGTTTTGAATGTTTGTGGATAGAAATAAAAATCTAAAGAGTTTTCCCACTTATTCAATTGAATGTGCTGCCATATAGAAAATTTTAACACATGTGGAGTTAATTAGACTTTTACCTAATGAAAGTTTGGTGGTGAAATGCTTATTGTAGGAGAGCTTATAGGTAACTAATATTCCAAAGAATATTTCTACATGGCTTTCCCGAACTTCCGCGACAATGTATTAATCTGCGACCTATTCTGAAAATCATAATCCCATCGCGAACAATACCTAAACAAATTAGCTATCTAGAGATCAGATTGAAAATGTTATTAACAATTGAGTAGGATCTGCAAAATCGACTTGGTATTCATTTAAGACATAACTTAGTTGGGCTCTCTAAAAAACGGGTATACACCCGATGTCTTTATCAAAAAAAATACGTCTATTTTCTCTGAAAATCGGGCTCAACTCAGCTATTATAGATCGAGTCAAGCAGTAATAGTCTACGATAGTTTGTAACTATGTTAGAATCTCGTTTTTTTTAAACATTGGTTGAATTATCGACTTTGAAGATGAAGATGGTATGACACCGTAAAGAAATATAAAATTGTATAGCATAAGTAACTCGTTGAGAAAACCAGGAGGAGCGTTTTTGTGAAACTCATAAGGAATATAGTCGTTATCTAGTGCCTTATTAGATTTGGTATTTGACATTACAAGCTGGAGTTCACGAAGTTTATAAGAAGAGATATGGAAGGAATTGACAAAAGACGGAAGACATCAAGAGGTAGCTATAAATTGCGAAAGTCTTCATATTGCAGATTAATAACTTACGTTCGCTTAAAAATTTAGATTTTATTTAAGTGTGCCAATTATGAGAATAAGTGTACGATTAATAAAGAAGCTATCTTCTTTGGTGAGTTCACCAACACATTAAATTTATACAAATAAAAATAATTTTACAAACTTGAGAGTATTTATTAATTTTATAAACAATGTATAGTGTAATTAATCAAAAATTACTGAGAAATTAATGAAGCAGTTTATCACTTGATTAAGATATTAATTCCTCCATTAAACTGGTCAGTCCCTCAAAAGACAATTCTTAGGTTTATATCAAACATTTACAGTCTTATCACCTTAAAATGACAAAGAAGTAAGAATGGCAAAGAGTTTGATATCCTTAGGCTTCTAAAAAATATTCTATTTTAAGATAAAAGTCGAATTGTTATAGGCCCATTTTTTTCTAACTGTCGTTTTATTCATAACACGAAAGATTATTTCTATGCGATTATATATGTCTATAGATTATATTTATCTATACCTATTTGATACATTCATTAAACTAAACATGTAGTGGTTCTAGTATTTCTTCATAACCGATCATTATATTAGACTTGTTACATTTCGAATTAAGTTTATTTACAGCTGTTAGTCTTAGTCATTGCGCAGTCGTCCTGGAGCAGTCATCCTCTCAGAAGGATTACTCACACAAATTCCCCACTCAGTGTTTAACATCCTTTTATGCTTTCCTTCTGAGCCGGAAAAGATTTTCAAAATTGTTATCATTAGTCATCTGACAGGTGGTGGTGGTGATACTTAAAAGCTTCACCAGAGAGCGGTGCACAAATGTCAAAATAGAGCTTTTCCGAAATTCGAAGTTTACCATACACAATAACCGAAGTGATTTCGAAAATTCACTTTGGTTGAAAATTCCTTGTTGAGTAATGAACAACGTGTGTATTTGAGGATTTTTGTTAAACGTGTAAAAACTATTTGAAAATTTTAGAATTTCATAAATAAAAAATGTTGTAAAATTATATAAGAAAATCTTAAAAATTTCGAACGCAATGACGTTATAGAAAAAGTGTAGAATATTGTGAATATTTGTTTGGCAAACTATTTTAATTTGAAAAATAAATAAAAGTGACAAAAAAATCAAGTGCTGTGGTGTTCCCAAGTTTGTTTGTGTGTGCGATTACGTGCTGGAAGGGGGGACATTTACGAAGATGTTGTACAAAATTCCTTTGGACCAATTGTTGTATACATAGCACAGCAGCTCGGCGCCTCGTCTATGTTGTACACACCTCCCCTCAGTCAATAACAAAAAGCGCCTCGCAAAAAGCACTTTCGTTAGTATTGTACGCTTAAGAACGGAGCGGAAGACAAGAAAGCAACCGTTTCCTAACGAGAAAGTGTTGATATAAACGATTAAATTTTAAGAAAAGATATAAAAAAACATAAAAAGAAAGTTTACTAGTGAAAATTGTGAAAAAGAGAAAATTTTTGCTTTGTTCGGTTGCGGCAATACGGCGAGTCCGCGAAAACTTTTTGAAAACCGCAAATTTAGCGCCTTTGTGAGCTTGAATGTATCATTTCTCATAATTGTGTGAATTAAGAATATAAGAATAGAAAAAGAAATTGTATTACAACCACAACAGCAACAACAGCAACAACAACGCGGAAACGACACCGACAACGACAACAAAAGAAACCAGAATTGATCCACGAGTATTTCAGTATTGCGGTGAAGAATGCTTCAGTGAAATGTCCTCTTAGCGAGTTCTTTTCACGGCTCTTACATTTTTATAAATTCACAATTTACAAAAATAAAAGCAGCAAGAATAGAACTAAAAAAATTTTCACTATTTTAATTCCATTGTGCACCTTTCGCAGAGCCACGAAATTCTACATTGAAGTGATGCTCTTACCGGGTTTAGAAGATTCCTGCACTATTATCTGCTTGGGTGCTTAACCTAAAAGTGCGCAACACAAAAGATAGAGTTCGCTGAACGTTTCAGAAAGTGATGAGTGGCATGGATTAGAGATACAAAGAGTGTGTTTGTCTAAAATATTAAATTTGTACTTATGTGCCTCCGGAAGTGTGAGTATATGTGTGCAGTAGATGTCGCACTGACTGAGCACATGGGAAAATGTAGATAGAACTTAGTCAGACTAGTGCAAAGCGCAAAAAGGAAGAAAAATAAATAGCAAATAGCAAATAGCAAGTAGAAAACAGCATCTCACCGCCAACTCTCACCAACAACAACAACAACAACGATAACTGCTGCAACAACAAACACAAAAGCACAAAAACTAAAACGAAATCATGAACAGTTCCTGAATAATTTAAATTAAATATAACATTAGTTAGCAAAAGGATACCTACCCTAGCACATTCAAACACTCTCGTCCATTTACTTAGGCATTTAAGTATTATTTACATTTACATAATTGTGAAATGGAGCGTATGTGGCGCAAGGTCAACCACAGCTTCAGTGGCCGCACTTCGAAGTCTGCAAATTCTATACAATCAACTGATACGGTTAGTTCGGCTGGCGGCTTCGGTGATGGTCAAATAGTTGTGGCTGTTGCGGGCATTGCCGCTCCAAGCACAGCAACGGGACGACGTTTGGCTGCAAGTGGACAGGTGCAGATGCCAACCAACTCAGCCATAGCCACGGGGACAGTCACTGGACAGTGTCAGAAATCGCTGAGTCAGCACGTATTACTAAGCACAGCATCGTCATCGGAACGCAGAAGGCGACGACGCCGTAAAAGCCGACAACGTCGTAGCGGTGTAAGCTGTGTGGGTGGCGGAGATAATATGTCGTAAGTTGTTAAGCTTCATAAATATTGATACATATATATCTATATACGTGTATATAAGTGTAGACAGCACAACTTCTAGTGTGGGTATTCTCCCATAAATGTTAATAAAAATTCAGACAAAATTCTCAGAAAATCCTGTAGATACTTTCTTCTTCATTTTAATCACAGACTGACAGCCTCATTAATTGCGTTAGGCAACGAATGTGATTGATTGCTGTTGTAACTTCAATTTTTTTTCATTTTTTTTTTTTTGGCCCTTGTATATTTTTACACAATTTATTATATGCATAATTGCTCTTCAAAAAGTCAAAAAAAAAGAAGATAAATATATTAACAATGTACGAAGAATGCAGGACTTACTTCTGCAGTTGTTGATTTCCAGGCGCAAAGATTTAAAAATTAGCTTTGCGTGCGACGTGCGTGGCACGTGACAAAACCTTTTTGAGGGTTGTAAGCATCAATTTAATGGGTTCCATTTAGTCTAAATGCCTTCAAGGGAAATGTTTTGTCAAAATATTACCCATAAAATATCTAAGCACGAAGTAAAAAAATCCAAAAAATCCGATAGAAACACTCATAGTCATGGCAACACAAAAGTTTAAATCGCGGCTGCCTTTTTATCATTTTTTATATGTAAAATGTGGCATTACTTATAAAAGTTTTGTTATAAAAACAAAAATAGGAAAATTATAATAAATCATTCAATTAAGTTTAAATTAAGCTTGTCTAAATATTTTCCGTTAGGCTTTACACGAGACCGAAGCAGATCACTCTGTTTTCTTCTTCATGTTTTTAAAAAAATTCGATAGAAACGTTCATAGTCATGGTAATACAAAAGTCGGCTGACCTGAATATAGATCGAAGCAGATTAGTGTGTTCTTTTCTTTTTTATGCCTCTAAAGAAATCATATAAAAACACTCATAGTCATAACAATACAAAAGAAGAATTCGCTGCTTATCTGAACATAGACCAGTGTGGATTAGTCTGTTCTCTTCTATGTGTCTTTTAACTCTTTCCACTATTGTAAATAAAGATAAATTAAGTTTCAGTATATTCATAGCTCACCAAAGAGCATATAAACGTGGAAGAGCATATAAACTATATTTATCTTAATCAACTTAATGATTGAGGAAAATTTTTAATTGGTCCACTAATAGATGTGTTATATATCTATAACAGATCTATTTAGACAATACAGAATTTTTGAATTTAAGTGACTATAGCTGCCATTATCCCACTGAATGATTATAAGTAAGTTTCTCATTATTGTAAAATTTTGAATGAGGTTATTTATTTTATGAAGTCAATAAAAAATAAAAAAAGGTTTTATTAAATTTGATTCAGACAAATCTCGAGGAGGATGATGAAGTAGTCGTAATGTAGATTAATTTGATCACTTACACAGTCTTTCCCAACTTAGTGTAATAAAATCAAGAATCAAACAGTCAGTGGCTAATGTTGTAGAATAATGGATGAGTTACAAGTTCTTATTATATACATAGTGTTCCCTAACTACTATTACTGTAGTTAGGTTTATGATAATAATGATAATAATCACATATTTATTTTTTTCTGATTGTTTATATAAGTATATAAACTATTAACATATATAATATTTGTAAGAGGATATATTACATTTTTTCGAACTAGCTATTTTGTGAATTACTTTTACTAGTAATTCGAGACCTCCCTCTATATAGCATCATAAGCTTTATTAAAGGTTCTGGATGGTTTTAGCCCATGGGTTCTAAATAATACGGTCGCCCTAGGATCGCCGGTAGAACCTAACCTATCCTTTACAAGTAATTACTTTATATAATATAATTTTTTGTGAGGCATATCTAAGCTCTAGAAAACTCGAAATTAATTTGTGTTTTTTATTTTTATTTGTTTTGTAATATGACACCAAAAAATAAATGTAAAAGTATTAAAAGATGGCATATAGTTCTATCGATTCAATAATCCTTATCCATATGTTCTTTTGTGAACTAGTTACAACTTTATATTACTTATTACTATCACTTTAATGATTGGTTCCACGTCTTTCCGATTTCCCAAATAACAGTAAAGTCAGTTACTTTGAGCTATTTTTTTAACTACGCGATATGCTTATATAGCTTGTTTCTCACAAGGTTGTCACCTTAAACTTTTTTTATTAATTACAATAATGAAAACTACATATGCTAACTATGTAATTTTACATCCATTCCACTAATGAAATGCTAGATAGCGCGTCTTTCTGTTGTTGCTAGTTTTCAAGTGAAAATGTTGAACATTAAAACTCGATATGTCAAAAACTAAGTATTATGGAGATATATAATGGAGTGTAGAAAAAGTTATCAGAAATAGTTATATTTATTAGAATTTGTTGAGCAAACGTGAGATATCGGAATCATGCTATGGGTACTGTTATACCTGAAAGGTTTATCATATTATTGCGATTTATTGCTCCATTTTTCCTAGTGTTGTTGTTTTATATATTAATAAGTGCGTTCTTTCCTGATATTCATGTTTTTATAATTTTTTTAATAATCATGCTTATGACGATCCCAATCTGAACACATAAATATTTTAGAATCGAAACACTACTTGATTGTTTAGGGTTAAAGGGATAGAATTTGTATGGATATTAAGCAATATATATTCGAAAATATGTCTCTAGAGATATATTCTGCTAATTTAAAGTTGTTAAAAAAGAAGAAGGTGTAGTCTGAACTGTTGATTCTGTATTCATTTATTAAGTTTATTTATTAAGTTTAAACCTATATTACTTTAGTTAACATTTTTTCTAAAATGAATTATGCCGAGCTCAATTGTTATATATTAAGTAGTGCCGTGAAATTTCTCCGAATCTATAGGAATATTACTGTTAAATTCTCTGACATTCTTTTATTGTAAATAGATATAAATATAATAATATACTCATTCATGAAAGACTCTGATATAATAAGCCGTAGGCGATGATTTTGTAGAACTGTTATAAGTTATATGAATAAACTTAAATGATATATATCACATTTCCTTTAATATACAAAGGATACAAAGTAATTCCTTATGGTGTAATTGGAAAAATATGTCGATACCATGCCAACATATGGTACAGTTGATCCAACATGATGTGTCGAGTAAGAATATTTTAACTTGAGATTTATTTAAAATCTAGTTTAATCTATCAAATTATTTTTCTGAGTGTGGGAACTCATAAATTATGCTTAAGCTATGTACAAATTTTTTTTCTAGTCGATGTATCTTAGCAATTTGTCTTAGTAAACTAATAAAAATTAAAAAAAGATTAGTTGATGATATATCAGCACACAAAGTTATTGATAGGCCTTAAATCCATCACAGCATATCAGCACACAAAGTTATTGATAGGCCTCGCTCTAACCTTTTGAATATGAATAACGACTTATAGTGTCCCAAATCCATCTCTAATAAGTTATTTAAAAACATATGAAATATTTTGAAAATTATTTATACACCACTAATCCATTTAATTAAATGAAATTATTTAATGTATAGCACAAAATCTACGCAGCAAGGATGACCCAAATTCCGTTTAGGAAATTAGTCCTGACTAATTCATATTGCCATATTGCTTTAGAGCGAAACCAGAAAGAAGTATTATCAACTGTGGAAGAGTTCCATTAATTAATTTCATGTATTTTGGCGCAATGCCTTAATTTACTAAATTTTAAGGGAGTTCGCTTTTATTTCGCTGCTGATTTGTTTTGCCCCTAATTTTTTGTGTGAAGTTTTTGGGGCGTTTTTCATTAGTAGCGAGTTTGCATTTTGCGGTAAAACTAAAATAAACAAAAATTTATAAACCGCCCCAGACTCTCGACATATGAAAAGCGAAAACATGCGCCCACGCAAAAATGTATGTACTCCACATTCAAAAAAACTTCTTGACTTTTAGGCCACAAATTGCCTCTAGAACAAAGGCGCACTTCAGTTTATAAATACTTTTTGGCCATAGATACATTATCCTACATGCAAATATATTTGCACATGTGTGTGTCGCATATATTAAAACTTTTATAAATATTTATGCGTTCCAGGCAACTTTTAATTTATGAACTTCCTCTTCATAAGCTGTCAAAGGAACGGAAAGGAAAGTCATTTGGGAACGTTTAGTACAATTTTATTGATAACAAATAAACTAAAGCATTTTATTGGATTTACTAAATGGTAAAGACGTTGGATATATTTTAGATACTTTCGTTTGTTTAATGCGTTTAGTATGGTTTTCATTTCAAATCGAATAAATTTAATTTCCTGCTAGAGAAACTGTAAACTTAAAATCAAATAAATTTCAAAAGGTTAAACTTCGATAATAATTTGTTTTCAATTTGAATCTTGGTTTAAAAGTCATCTATTTATTTATAAACATACAAAAATCTTTTTAAAAAAGAGTAGATATGAATTATTTAATATTTTAACCAATTGATTTCTTAACATTTTACCACATTTCAGATGCAGCGCAAAATATCAATCATGGTCGCAGTGCTCCGCTTCGTTGGGAGCTAGTACCACGTATATTCCTACTAATTTTCAGATTATTTTTCATTAAAATAAGTTTCTTAAACAACTGACCTTCTTGTGGTACAATATGAAGACTTTACTGTGTATACATCAATACTTCCTAAACAAGGTTTCTTTATAATCAAAGATATCTAGCGCTTTATATTGTCATAATAAAACAAAACGAGGGCTTTCTTCTCTACGAGGACTGCCTTTTAATTCTTGCATCTAACACTGAAAATACAGTAGGTATTATTGTTTTTCGAAGTATTCTACATGATAATCCATACATATCTAAATTCGATTGAACCAATTTTTAAATCATTTTTCTCACTTCGAAGTTGGTATCGCCAAAACCAGGGTTTTGAATATCTCAACGGCCTGTTCGGGCGTATAAAAACGCTCATCACGCATTTTTTTCTTAATGTTTGAGAAAAAGAATAAGTCATTTTGTGCCAATTCGAAATTGTAAGGT